AAGAAGAATAGCAATAGTGACGAAATGGATAGAGTTACGTGCTTCCACCAAAGCGGAAAAAATAGGAATTTTTCTGCAAAACGCTTTCTGAGAGGGATTTTTCAATAAGACCTTCCCTTCGGATGCTGTATTAGAAGGCATTCTTATAGCGCTGCAATTCAAAAGCAGACGGGATGGTGAAGGTTTCCAAAGGAACGGAAGTAAATAACGGAAACATGCAACAGTGGGCATGTTGCTAAGCTAAATTTGAACTGTGCCATTATTAATAATAATAATAGATTGGCGCTTACACATATGTTAGTGTTTGGCCGAGCTTCTCCTCCGATTTGTGGTGTGCGCCTTGATGTTGTCACACAAAGCGGAGGGACCTACAGTTTTACGCCGACTCCGAACGGCGATTGTATTTTTATGAGAAGCTGTTTTTCATGGCAGAAATACACTCGGAGGTTTGCCATTGCCTGCCGAGGGACGACCGCTGTTAAGAAAAAACCTTTTTTCTATATTTTTTGCGACGTTGCTTTGACCAGGGTTTGAACCCAGGCGTTGCGGAGTGGAAGCGCGCACTGCTTACCACTACACCACAGCGGCCGACCATTATTATTTCAAGTAAATTTTCTTTTTCTAAGGGAAGCTGAATTAGAAGGTCGCCTTGACACCCTGTCTATTTCATTCAAACTAAAAAGGTTATTCCTTCAAAAGATCAGATATATGTAAGGGCTCCTAAAGAGTATTTTTTTTATAATTTGGCTGATTGGGAGTTCATGTTCATTATAAAAAATCGATCGGTCTTACACAGTATGCAGACAGACGGGCTATGGACTATCATTTACGATCATAACTACAGAGTTTACGACTCTCGTATTCGCAAGCCACGATTGGAAATGAGACGTGGGACGAAGCACAGATAACTGAAAGCTCGATGGTTGATTAGTGACTGGGTATATTAAGTATATTTATTATAAGAATACCTATACGTTCCTTAAAACTCCTGATCACCGAAAAATGGAACAGATTGGATCAGAGAATCCCACTTGTATAGATACAAGACAATTGTGACCAATACTTAGCTCCAGGCGCCTCCTTCTAGTTAAAGCTTTAAGTTGCTGTGAACAGTGACGACCAGATAGAGCTTTTAAATTATAGAAATCATTGACAGCTCTAAGCTCAAAAACAGTATAGGTAAGGTCCTAATGCGCGCATCTATGTAAAATATATACTTATATAAGGAGCTTAAAAAAGC